AATTGTATAAAATAATATAAAATATTCTAATAAAAATTTTACAGAATAATATAAAATATTCTGATAAATATTGAAAATTTTATAAAATAATATAAAATATTCTAATAAATATTGAAAATTTTATAGAATAATATAAAATATTCTAATAAATATTGTATATTATTTTATAAAATTAATGAAAAATAAATATATATATAAAATCTGTTTTAATAAATATTTTCAAAATATATGACACAGGTTCTAAGGTGTCTGTTCCACAGGAACACTTTTTAAAGAAGCTCCACAGACACCAAACTTCCAGCACGATTTTTTCTTCGATGAAATCAAAAAGACTCTTGTCTAGTTCGATCCCTGATCACTTCCAGAAACAAACAAGATCTGATTCAACTGCTAGAAGATCAGAGCTTTAGAACCTCAGCATCCTCGAGCTCTATCACGACCTCTGTTGGTCCTCTGACAAGCGTTACCCTTAATACAGTGAATTCTCTCGAATCGTGCCTCAGCTTGTAAACAAAACTGAACAATTTCGAAAAAGCAGATACGTTCATTCGAGCCTCGCGGCCCGTTTTTATACCGTGGTGTGCACAATTATAGATTCAAAGTAACTTTTACATTGCTACCGACTTCTATACGAAAACTTGAGATATCATATTTCTATATTTCTACTTTCTATTATTTCTAATATAGAAATACACGAATATGAGTGTTTTGTTAAGTTTTTGTTTTTAAAATATACAGACTGACTCAACTGAAAGAGACTCGTGCTGCAAATAATTATAAACTGAAAGTAACTTTTACAGGAAAAACCAAGAAAAAAGCTATACTTGTATACACTTCTTAAATAATAGAGAATAGAGACATACGACTATGATATGTCGTTGAATATTTGTTTAAGTACCACTAAAAGTGTAAAAGTTACTTCGACTCCAAAATTATTCACATCGCTGCAGTTGTTGACAATCGGCAACTATAATAATATTATCAACTATAATACACTCGATATATTAGCAACTATAATAATACTCGAATAATCGTATCCCCTCTTCCAAAATCATCAATTTCTGTTTACAAGCCGAAAGGCGATTCGAGAGAATTTAATGTAGCCCTCGGCGTCGATCCAAACGTTTCTCCAGAATCGACGCGAACGGTTCACGGAAAATCGGTTCGCCGGCGATCGACGATGAACGACGAGCGTGGCCGAGGGACGCCGACCCGACAGGACACCCAGGAACATTCAATCGACTAGAGGCGCCCTCTTTCCTCGCAACCGGGTCGACGTCCGTCGGCGAGGAACGACTGCGATCCTCCGCGGTCTGTTTGGATAAGAAAACGAACGACAACGACAAGCTGAACGGCGAAACCATATATCACAGGGGGTTCAGAGAGACGCGGCTGCCTGTACACACGGAACGTAACTTGACAGAGACGCAAGGGGTGCCGTCGAGAACACGAAGCTGCTGGACAAATTAATCGGAAAGACGGAGCGCGGTCGCGTGGATTCGTATCTCTTGTCGGCAAACACGGTGTTACATCGCTGTCGACCGCTCCTCGTGGGCTTTCTTCACGATCGCCAGCTTCGAATGAGGGTCGGCTGCTGGCAGGCCGGTGTACGGCGGCTCCCTGGTGCCGTGCAACATCAGGGTCCACTCGCGGAACCAGCCGTGCTGAGGTGTCTGCGTGTTGAAGCTCACCTGAAAACGGATCACGTTTAGTTCGGTTTCTTTCCATCGGGTGGATGAAGAGGTTGATGGATGGATAGAGGGTTTTATGCATTTAGGGGCAACACGAGTGGATGAAAGACAAAATAGTGAAAAAAGATTTGACAATAAACCTAGCGTGCCGGTCAAAATGACCGGTTTTCCAATGTCACAATTCTACAAAGTTAACACTTAGCCGACCGATCGGGTAGATCTACCCATTTCCAAGCTAGTCGGTGGCCGACCGATCGGGTAGATCTACCATTTTGACCTGAGGAACGCTTCTTTCTCTGTAAAACTTCTTATTTCTATAGAGTACAACATAATTATAATAACATGCACTAATTTTTGAAGTCTTTTATTGCCCATTATTACGGTTCTTTATGTTCGGGATTTTCGAAGGTGCCTCTACCAGCCATAAGATTATTTTATTAGAACACTTAGCCGATCGATCGGGTAGATCTATCACTTTGACCTGAGGAACGCTTCTTTCTCTATAGAGCTTCTTATTTCTATAGAGTACAACATATAATAAAATGTACACCAACACCACACCCATTAGAAATCGAAATGCTACCTCTCACGACTCTCACAACTTTTTCGAATATATAAGACTCCGCTCAACTTGCAAATATTAGTGTAGAAGCTAAGCTCCTTGCTGTGACTCTCAACAAGCGGTGTGAAACGAAGTATAGAAAAAATATCCCTAAAAATGTCCAGAAACATGAGTGACAATTCAAGTGATGAGTTGTTTATGGACA